TGAGCAGCACAAAAACCCTAATCTTCTTTTTTAGGAATAATATCCTCACTCTTCGGGAATATTTAATCAGGAACATTTATTGCCTAAATAGAGTGGAGAAGAGCAGAGGGGAAAGAACGCAGCATTGGGGGGAACCGGTGCTGATGGTCCGAGAGGCTGAGACATGTTTCCCCAGCTTCACGTGCTGCTTCCTGTCAGACAGGAAGTCTGTGATCCACTTGCAGGTGGAGTCGGGCACGTACAGCTGGGAGAGTTTTTTCTGCAGCAGAGACGGGATGCATGGTGTTGAAAGCAGAGCTGAAGTCCACAAACAGGATCCTCGCGTGGGTTCCTAGGGAGTCCAGATGCTGGAGGATGAAGTTGAGGGGTGGGGGTCTGGGGCAGGTTGGTGGAGCTGAGTCAGGACTGTCCCATTGTCTGTAAAATCTGCAGTAGAACTCATTCAGCTCGTCTGCCAGGCGGAGGTCATTCATGGGTTGGGGGGGTTTGGCTTGTGGTTTGTGAGGTGTTGAATGCCTCTCCACACCGAAGAGTCACTACTGAGAACTGTTGCTGCAGTTTCTCAGAGTACATTCGTTAAGCAACTCTCACCGCCTTGCTAAACCTGTATTTTGACTCAAGTCTTTGTCCCCACTCCTAAATGCCTGATCTTTCTGGAGTCGAAGTTTCTGAGTTCCGCTGTAAACAGGGATTGTCCTTGTTATAACTCACCCTGGTGCATGATGGTACACAGCTGTCCTCACAGAAGCCAATGTGAGAAATCACAGCCTCTGTGAACCATTTGTAGTGTTTTATTTACGACTTTGTGGCTTTTCTCGTCTGTCGCGTCTCGGCTTGTTAGTTGAGTACCTCTTTTCGCAGTTGATTCTTTTTTCATCGGATTGTGCATCGGTCTGTCATTTTACAAATGTGTGGTAGTTGTTCATCACTTGCAGATGAGGATGGTGATCAGAGTCATGGTGCTTGTGTTTGTGTTGACTGACAGATGTGAGTCCTGCAGCGTTGAAGTCACAGGACTATAAACCTTCTCAGTTCCCTGGAGGATCATCTGACGATGCAAAGCCTCCTCTCTAAGGAAATGATTTCACTGCTGTCCAAAGAGTGAGGGCAACGTGGGACACCAAGCCAAGGAATACTGCTCGCTTCAACACGATGGTCTTAATAGAATAGAAGAAACAGTTATATCAGAAGATGAAGATTTAAGGACATTTGTGTTCACTTTGGTTGGTATCATGTGTGTGTTTGTCTGCCTTTCATTTTCTGACAGAGTTAACTGTGAATGAATAGCATATTGAAATTCGGCTCAATTCTAAGTTAATGTTATTAATTATTAATAATTTAACGAATTATCACATGATATAAAACTGCGAAAAAAATACTTTTTTACCAAGAGATCATAATCGTTTCTTTATCCCGCTCTGAAAGGAAAATATAAAATAAATTCATTTAATTTAATCGATTATTTAAGTCTATATCAGCAGAGAAACGTTTTAATTTTAGGAAAGCATACTTTGTTTCAAACAGTATTGAGTTTTTCAGCGGATAGATGCTTGTTGGCGGAGCAGGAGGTTTTTGTACAGCCACTCAATGGGTTTGTGTCACTGTGGTTCACGTTTGGTGGAGGAACAAAACTCTTCATTGACTGTAAGTACCACTGATTCTTATTTTATTACAAATATAGAAAATGTAACTTGAAACTCTGATCAGTATCAGTATTTGTAAGTTGTTCATTATAATTTCTTATTGTATCAATCTGAACTTACAAACTGAGAACGATTCAGACATCTAAAGTGAATCAGTCTTGTGTGTCATTTCATTTTAAAGAGGATAAATAACTATATTTCTGTACATTATTTTCACTTTCTCATAAAACCTTTTTCTCTGACTGTTTTAAAAAAGTTTGATCGAACAAGACTTTTTGTTCTAAAATTTTTTAAATATTATTAGAAAATATTAAATGTTTTCATGATTTAAAATGTGATGTGGATTTTTTGTCCAACAGAGATATGATTTTATCAGTAAATGCAGCTTATCTTTGTGTTCACGGTTCATTGATTTTACGTTTAGTGAAAAGGAAGTGAAAGAGACAGATAACAAAGGTTTTAGTTGTATTTATGCTTTTAAACGGTCAGTTTTAACGGAAAAAAATCACAATTTATCCACTAGAAAACCTACATGATTGATTGTTATTGAAAATCCTTTTTGGTAACATTTAAAATGTATTTTCTATCACCCCCCTCTCTCTCCTCCAGTGGGTGTGGTGCGGCCCACCCTGACCGTCCTCCCCCCCTCCACAGAGGAGCTGCAGCAGGGCGCAGCCACACTGGTGTGTCTGGCCAGCGGCGGCTTCCCCTCCGCCTGGAGTCTGAGCTGGAAGCTGGGGGGCAGCAGCTCCTCCTCAGGGGTGTCACACAGCCAGGAGTTCCTGGGGAGGGACGGCCGCTACAGCTGGAGCAGCACCCTGAGCCTCACTGCAGACCAGTGGAGGAAGGCGGGCTCAGTGAGCTGTGAGGCGGGTCTGGATGGACAGAGCCCTGTCACTCAAACCCTGGACCCTGACCGCTGCTCAGAGTAGAGCTTCAGCAACACGTCCTGTGTGGAAATGATGCAGCTTCTTTGGTGGATTTCATAGCTACAGATCTCCTCTGTTTCTCAGCTCTCAGAGTCTGTTACTTTCTGATATTCTTCTTTTTGTTCATTACTTTAGAAATTAAACTGAATTAAAGATTGTTTTTCCATCCATCATCCTTCGTTGATTCATCAAAAATGTGACGTTTTGATAAAACTCTGAATAAAAAAGTGGATTATAATGATTCAGTGTCTGTGTATACATTTTAACACATTTTGATATATTCTAAGGAATGAAATATATATTTTGTTTCTGTTTGGAATGTTTTGCAAGCAGCCATCATTAGAGCTACAATTGAGAAGATTTTCTTTATATATACATTAGAAGTTATGGTCCAACAAGAAACTAACCTCCCCTAATAATTCATAGAGAGACTGACTGAACTGCCAAGAATAAACATTTCATTTTAGTTCATATAGTGTGTTTGTAAGTGTGCTTCTGTTTTATTCAGATTCATTGTGGTTCTGCTTGATGACTCTTGTGTTGTGTTCACTGGACCATGTTTTCCTCACCACAGTCTCTCCACCAACCCTTTGCACCTGCAGCAGGCCGATTTCACTGCTATCAAAGTGAAGGAGGTTTTTGTACGGCTCTAAATCACTGTGTGAACTCTCCAACTCCATGGTAACCAAGACAGTAGTAATCGCCAACATCTTCAGCCTCCACACCGCTGATGGTTAAAGTGTAGTCAGAACCAGATTGACTGCCACTGAATCGAGGAGGAGTTCCAGAGAAGCGAGTTGATGACTTGTAAATGAGAAGTTTTGGAGCCTGTCCAGGTTTCTGAAGGTACCAACTGAGATCATCCTCAATATCTGAACTCCCCTTGGCGCTGATGGTCACAGTCCCTCTGAGACCGACGGCCTTGGAAGGGTCTGTCTGAGTCAGGAATTTGTTTGCAGAAGAGTCTGAAATAAGAAATGAAATATAAACATTGATAAGAAATGACACATGTCTCACAATAAAGAGCAGCGGTTTAAATTATAATAGTAACAAGACAAAAACATCTGTCAGATAGTTTTCAAAATGTCTCACCGTGGCACAGAACAGCCAACAAGAGGATTATTGACCACATCATCCTGGTGCAGTTTTCAGTGTGCGTTCATGAAAACTGTTACGACTTTCTGTGTCAGGAGAACTTAAAACAGTGAGGAGCAGTGAGGCATTGAAATCATGCAAAATGAGGTTTCAAAGGCAAACACACAGCTGCCCTTGTGAAACTGAAAAGGCCGAGATGAGGCGGAGTGACAGTTCATCCTCGAGTGTGGAGTCAAAACCTCTGTGTCGGTTCCCTTGTTTGCTAACGCTCTTTCCATTTTAACTACTTTTAAATTCTTTAAAGTGGACAAAACTAAGTTTTACTTTGCATTTGACTGGAGGTGGATTTCAGTGAGTGTTGTACGGTTGTGCTTTGGGTGACTGTGCTGATCTTCAGGTGAGCAGTGGTGCACATCAGAGTCTCCTGCAACAGGGCGAAGCTTCACCAAAGCAACATGTGTGCAGTCTCATCTGAGAGTCTTTTTTGTTTGACTCTGGATCCCCGTGTGCACATCACCACATACTCTATTATAGAGTATCTACTGCACTCTCAGCTTGGACTCCACTGATCAGAGGTTCTGTTTCTGATCCGACTAAAGCAGCAGTTTGGGAGGCTGTTCTGGTTCCTGCAGGTACTGAGATCATCATCAACTCTCTCTCCTTCACCAGCAGACTTTGATACAGGAGAACAGTTGAATATTAAAGCCATTTGAATGTTTGTAAAACATTCAAATTATTGTGTCTACTAGAAGACACATACATTAAGACACACTCAAACTAGTGTGTCTTAATGTATCCTGCCAGCATCAGCAGGGAAACCAATCACATCTTCATCATTGATATGTCTATGTGTGTGTATGTGCGTGTGTGTGTGTGTGTGTGTGTTGCGGTGGGCAGGGAAGCTTAACAGATACTCAAATTATAACATCTGTGGGTGAACACACTCGTCGTCTCTGCTGGATTCCGCCCTGTTTGGTCAGAATGGAGGAAGGAAAATGAATATGAATCATTTATATTGCAGATGGATTATAAGATTATCAACTTATGAACAACAAAACAAAACTCTATTTTTCTTTAGGAATAATTTCATCGGACTCTTCGTAGTCCTTTTGTATGACTTTTTGGCTTTTTTTTCTTGTTTCGTCTTGGTTGTTTCTTATTGTAGTCGTTTCTTTTTTGTGCATCGATGTGTCATTTTACAAATGTGTGGTGGTTGTTTGTCGCTTGTTCTCAGTTTGTTCTTAATGGATTTTACTTCTCATTGTAGCCGTCGTACTTTATGCCCGCTGGGATCCCTAAACCTGTTAGGCCCATTCAATGATCCAGACACAAGCCTTAAGTCCACCTTTAATAATAATTTACATACTGTGTGGATGATATTCAAAGCCAGAAGTTGTTGGTTTCATGATTTACAACAACACAATCCTTTGGAAATCAACCACCCACACAAACGTGTAACTGGAAGATGTTTTCCAGCCTGTTGAAAGTATCAACAGGTCCGTTTGTGTGTTTGTGTCCAACCTGTTGAGCACCATACGAGTGGGTTTTACATCCAACATCTGTTTAAGTTCAAAGGCTTTTAATCAAATTTTCTAAAACTGGAATTAGAGGTAAAAAACCCGTCTCATGTAGTACTCAAAGCAGGTCAAAACACAACCTCCAAACACTGCTGGACTCGATTGTCTCAGGCTCATCAACACATTTTGTGGTTTTGAGTCCATCATTACACAACTCAGGGAACTCAGGATGAATTGGTACAGAAATTTGTGTACACAAAGAAAATGTCTTTTGTTGTGTTAATTACAAAACATCCAACAATGAAAAACATACTTTTTAAAAGCTGTTAAAAAAAAATAAAAAAAAAGGAACAAAACACAATATAAAAAAATGTCAAAGTCTCCAGTTCAACGCATTCACACACAATTTCACACCGTTTTTGCGTGAAACTCGCACCAACGGTAAGGCTCTATAAGGATCTATTGTAAAAGGTAAAGCTAATGACAAACAAAACATCTAGAAGAAAGGTGAGTGTTCAGATGGGTTTGCATAGTGTGCAGAGGACCGTGCACGGACAGTTTGACAGCAGAGGTGTGAGGACCGAGTCAAGTTTATCTATGATAGTGTATTTGGGTGCCTGGCAACGGCTGCCTCGTTCTCTACTGTTATAGAAAGAGTTGAATGTTTCACGTACAACAGCTTGAATCCCATTCCTTTCACTGGAATGGTTTCATTTCCAGTGACGTTCAGGGCAAATAAGGACATACTGATTGACCTTTTCCCCGCCGCACAAAGGCTGCATTGTCCGATGGTGTGGGCTGCAGTACATCAAAGTATTGGGACACTTTCCACGCTATTTTTACCCGGCAAGGATGCAGCAGGAACCAGTTGCAAAGGTTCCAGTCTCCCCACACTCCAAAGTTCTTGTGATATTGGGAAATATCTCAAGTGGTGTTTTCAGAAAATTACACCAGATAGAAATAAAAATGTAATAAACATCTAATGGCTAAAATAAGCTGCTGATAATAAAGCCAATAAAAAGGCTCAAAATAAAAGCAACTTCATCAAAGACTAATTGCCAAATCCAATGAGCATTGACTTATTTACCTGCTACAGGTAATGCATATAAATATTATGATAATTAACTCCGAGATGATGGTTTGCACAATTTTGCAACTAATTGGGACAAATGCAGTTTGCAGCCCTGAAGGGCTTTGTTGGCATCTCTTGCTCATAGTGAAACGCCTCCTGCGACTGATAAAATCCTTTGTGGATACGGCCCTCCATGTGTAAACAATCTCGAACCTTTGCAACAGTGAAGCCTCATTCCTTATTTGCATACCGTAGTAAGTAACCAGCCAGTGTCAACATCAACAACACACACCCGTGCTCTGGCTGCAGCAAATACAATACACATTATGGCGGTATGGCGAGCTTTAGGAACGGGTGCTGCAAATAGACGAACGATAAAGGTGACATCGGCACACACACATGCACAGAGGGGTTCACACGCATCGGCTCTCGTGGAATAATGTGTCTGAAAAATCAAGGTTCATACTCAGTTACCTACTAAGCAGCACAAGGGAAACAACCGTAGAGCTCTAAACACAAGTGTTTTTCACAAGAACAAAAGGCTAAACATGCTCTGGCTCCAGCGTCATTAATCTGGAGACTTGCGGCGACTCTTATCTTATGAGTGCAAAGTTAATTAATGCTTTGGACTTTTTGAAGGTTATCTTGGATTTAAGGAAATTACAATGGACATTTTCCAGTATTTCTGTAGACCAGGATGTGTCGCTTTTCTTTGCGTTATAAATACTTTAATGCTTTTGTTTGTTTTGGGTATGTTGGTCCGACAAAACACAATTATTGAGAGCACATTTGTTTCTGACCATCTTAATGGGCATTTCTCACATTTTCCATAACGTTTCTTAGACAATAATAAAACAATTTAACGACAAAACAATCTGCAGATTAATTGATAATGAAAATAATCTTCAGCAGCCCTAACGTGTGTTACTCTTTTAAGAAGAATGCATAGCGTGTGTGTATTCTCCTCTTTTACCTGCAGCAGTTCTCTCCCTGATCCTCGTTTCTCCACATCCATCTCCAGACAGCGGGACAGGAAGGATCTGAAGACAGGAGACAGCTTCTCTGGACTCTGCAGCTCAGGAGTCCCATTGGTGGCGATTAAATATAAGGCCTAAGACGAGCATAATATCATGGTGAGAAAAGCAATCTTTACGTAATCATGTTAGAGGAAACACTGTGGTGTCTTTCTTGACTTGAATAAGGAGATTTCACAGATAAATGACTGGAAACAGGAAACGCCTGGTTCTGTCACACCAACAAAATCAAACCCCCCCAAAGACAACGATAAAGCTCAATAATAAGTATGGTTTTCCATTATAAAGCTAAAGTGCAAAGTATTTCCTAGTTCCTCTCCGATTTGAGGAGGTGCTGCTTTTTTTTCTGTGTTTAACAAAATTTTAAATTAAATATATTTATGGTTTTGCCGTTTAAGCAGACAAAAAAAGCTATTTGAAAGCCAGGAAGTTAAGAGAATACTGAAGGGCATTTTTCAGATATTTTATAAACTAAAATATTTTATAAACTAAAAAAGTTTAAAAAAAAAAAACAATGGTATTGAAAAAACAAAAAAACAAAACCGCCTGCCGTCCATTGTTTCTCCCAACACACACTCACCCTGAGAGGGTTCTCGTTGAGATATGGAGGCTCTCCCTCCACCATCTCTATGGCCATGATCCCCAGAGACCAAATGTCCACTTTTGGCCCGTAGGCTTTCCTGGTCACCACCTCTGGAGCCATCCAGTACGGGGTTCCCACCATGGTGCTGCGTTTGCTCTGCTCCGGAGTGATCTGGGCGCAGAAGCCGAAGTCGGCTGTGAAGAGAGAAAGAAAATGCGGTTGTAGATCAGATAAGTGCAACACGCGTCTGTAGATCTGTGCACGTGTGCACGTAGTCTCTCCCTCACTGAGTTTGACTGATCCGTCCATCCCCAGCAATACGTTGTCACTCTTGATGTCTCGGTGGATGACCTGGTTGGCGTGAAGAAACTCCAGAGCCTGAAGGACCTGGACGCAGAGAGGAAGTCGGGTTAGGACTCCCAAACGCAAGTGGGAGGCGAGACCTCTTCAATCCTTTTCTTATACACAATATTCCACTGACCTACAGGTGGCACCAATGCACAAAAAGAAAACAGCAATTTCACAACAAAAAGTGGGGAAGAAAAAGGATTTTATGATAGTAAACAAGTAAACAGAGAATCCTACTTCTCTGCAGACTGCAGCGATCTGAGCCTCGTCCATACACGTCTCCGTCACGACATCGGTTAGCGAGCCACCAGCCAGATACTCCATCACCACAAACAGCTCGTCTCCTACGAGGAAACTAAACGACATACACACAGGGTCATGTCCACAAAGCAGTCAACGGAGAGCTGTGGAAGTGTGACGCAGGCCTGTGTGTGTTACCTATCTACGAAGTTGACAATGTTGGGATTCTTCATCTCCTTCATGACCAGGATCTCATTGATTATCAGCTCCTTCTTCGGCTGCTTCTGCAAGTTGATCTGTTTGATGGCCACCTGCAGAACACAACGTCCTGTCAAAGTGGTACCACCTATACAGGCCCAAGCTATGTGCGTAATGCCGAGGTACACTTTTAACTTCCGCAAATCTGGACAGTCAAATTTGGAAGGTGTCCAGTTGCCAAGTGAAAACAGAGAGCCAAATGCATTTTTGTATGTAATTTGAATGGAAATATTCTTGAAAGAACTTTCTTTCCAAGAAAGGAAATCCTATATTGAATAAGCTAACATTAAATTGCTGTGATTACAATAATATCATAAAATCAGCACTATATCTACAGTGATTTCAGCCAGTTAGATTCAGTTATTGTTAAAGAATACCTTCAGTTCCTCTCAACTTTATCTTTTTTCAATACAGCTGTAACATTAAAAAGGAGACATATTGTGCTCATTTCCAAGTTCATATACATTTTTTTTACTAGAGCGTGTCTATAGCTCAAAGAAAATGTTCAAAGACCTTTTCATACTTCTCATATGTCCGCACACGCCTGTATTTACCCTGAGTATTTACTCAATTTGTTCACAGAACTGTGTTGCTAGGGAACAACTGGCAGATACAAAAGGGGAAGTAACCTTACCTCTTGTCCTGTGGCGACATCTATGGCTGTATAAACTGTGCCAGAGGCCCTGAGACAGTAAGAGGTGGAATAACCTTTAACAATCTCCCCAACAAGCAGCAAAAGCTTCCATCAAATCCCTGCTGATTGTCAATATTCACATTGTGCTGAACTGGGACTCACCCCTGGCCGATCTTCTCATAGCGAGTGTATTTCTTCTTAGGATCTCCAATGCTGACAATAGTTCCTAGGAATCGTTAAAAAGAAATAGGTCAGCTCTACCGCAGACAAAAATAGTATGTGGCTCCGCCTTTAATGCGCCATCTCCGGCGTGAATCCTTGTGTGTGTGTGTTTTACATACGAAGCTTCTCCATGATCTCCTCGTCGGTCATCTTGCCTCCCTTTTTCTTCTGTCTGTCGGCCGCCTTTGAGGCGCCGTCTACCTCTGACGCCGGGAGCGGGTCTATCACCGACCTGGTGTACACCTGACACAACATGAGGGGGGGGAAACATTTCAGGAACACTGACCTTTGGCGAAACTGGCATTCTTGTATTTATCTGCTTGCAAATGGTTTTAATTTGGAATTCATCTCACTAAATAATTAAGTATTTATTTAGCATTTAGCACAGTGAAGGTTTCTTCTAGAAACAATGACATCATCATCTTTCTACTCACTGATTTTGTGTGTTCTGGCCGCGGCGCCACCACTGGAGGTGGTGTGTCGTCATCATCGTCATCGTCTCCGTCTTTGCCACCCGATTGTGAGGCCGCTGTGCCCTGCTTGCCTGGCTGCAAAACCAAACATAAGGCGATCGAATGGAGTGACATTCAGACTATACGTAGAAATATATTCCATGTGATGTTATGAATGGAAGCCGGGGTTAGAAACCGATCTCCTCACCGACTGAGAGTCTTTATCTGAAAGAGATAAAGCGTAAGGAAAGATTAGTCCGCGGCGTTACAACATTGGACTTTTATTTTATATGTTGCGCAAAAGAAAAAACTAACCCGAGGCGGAAAAACTGAGGTATTTCTGTTTTCCACTGGTGGAGTCGTAAAACTTGAGGATGTCGAGAACGGCCTGAGGATTCTGTTTCTGCTCCGATTTACTGATGTTGGAGGTTTGAAGGAGACGGGCCCACTGCTCCGGCATGCCCTGGACACACACACACACACAGTCAAACACATACAGAGATCTACCCACAAAGAGACCAAAAGTATTAAGGTTGCAGGCGGGGGAGCTCCTGTAGTCAGTTATCTCACAGCCTGTGAAAGATAACTGCAAACATGACTTTTGGTTTGAATATTTGATTTTTTCCCAATATGACAGATTTCTAGATGTTAACAAGCAGCAACTTACACATTATCAGGCTATTTGTCGAACTATTAGACGTTCGAAATGGTACACGTTGTTTTAAATGGTACAATCCAATAGAATAAATCAGTTATTTCTGCTCTTTAAAATATTAATACTTACAGTGAACTCGCCAGTGACTGAATCAAAGCCCACATGGATGGTGTGTTCAAAGTCTGAAGGGGAGGAGATCTCGGGTCGGTCCTTGTCCCGGTCCTTCTTCCTGCCTCCTGCAGGTAAAAGGTCAAGGGTCAATGTCGTGGCCATCCATGGCAGTGTGTGATTTTATATGCATCTACGTCTCGTACCTTTCTCAGAGGCAAACATGGAGATGATCTTATTTCTGGACTTTCTCTCCTCGGGCACAGACGGCAGGGGCCGAGAGCTGTGATTGGCTGACTGGGGGTCCTTGGCTCCTCCTCCTTGGCTGCTCATCCTGACAGGGGGGGCGGGGGGCTTGTCCTCACACACTCCGCTGTCACACATCTACACACAGGTACACCTGCACAGGCGGGATGAGACGCACAAATGACCGCGCGTAAAGAACCGAACAGAAAAGCTACACGCGACAGCCCAAAACGCTTCTCACAAACAGCTGTAAATCACGCACAGCCGAGACTCCGTCGCAGAGAAGTCACTAACTAAACACATACCGGTAGGAAACAGTCACACAGAGCCAGCTAACCCATCCGTGCAGCGATGTGCGGGTCGGTGCCGAGTGTCGGAGCGAAGGAACAGAGTGTGAAGAGGAAGCGAGACTGAATGAGCAAAGTGACGTGTTGAGTCTCGTTCATGGTAACGTGAATGAGGAAGGAAAAGAGACAGAAGGAGCGAGAGACGGACAGACAGACAGAGAGAGAGAGAGAGAGACAGACACAAACAGAGGCAGAGACACTAACAATGTAATGACAACTGGGGCTGAAGGAAGCGAGTGAGGAACTGCCTAAAGATGAAGCGGCTGGTGTGAAACGATGATGTAGACAACAATCTCTGCTCATGTGCAGCAGTGAAGTACTTGTATTTAACTCGGGTATTTCCATCTCTTAATACCACTCTGCTACATGTGAAACACGAGATGCACTGTTGCGTCTCAAACCAGTGGTTTGGTCCTTTTGCCTTGTTTTTTTCGTAACAATGGAGTATTTTAACGCGGTTGTGATGGTTCCTGATACGAGTGTTTCTCCCCACACGGACATGCTCGGTGTGATCCATTACCCTAATATGGTGACACACACACACACAAGCGCACACAGCAACCAAAGAAACTGCTCCAAGCGTTGCAGAGCAAGCAGTTTAGTCGGGTGTGCTGCAGTCTGCATTCTTGTGGACGTCACAGACAGGAAAAAGGAAGCAAACACAGGTTTCCTCACTTCCTCCTCCTCACTGACACGCAACATAACATGAAACCCGGCGAGCAGACGCGGCTCAGGGGCAGCGGGACGCCCACGACCCCTTTCGACACACATAGAGCCTCCTCCCGCTCTGCTAACCTTGGACACACAACAAACAGAGTCAGGGGAAGAAAAAAAAAAAGAAGAATGTTTTGTCCACATCTTAGGAGAGACCCGGCTCCGCCTTCGATCGGCGTGTTGCACCCGGACAATTAAATAAAACCTAAACGCACTACGAGCACGCAGGAGGTTTCCATGCAGCATTAAGGGAGCGAAGCTTCCCTTCGTTGTGCAACCCTGTGTTGTACAATGCGGGTTAATGAACCTCGAATCCGTGGCGATATCCTGACAGAGATACCTGTCCTTAACACATGAACTGTTCAACACGCACACACACACGAGGCCGTTAAGGTCATTTTAAAAGGCCATTTCCCACAAGCTGAGCGTCTTCAGGACGGAGGCCCTAACTTGTCTCAAGGTTAAATCATCACCCTCCCCGTTTTCCCACACAGTAGATCACGTCATCTGATCAGAAACTTCACGTCCAGGTAAAAACACGACCTCATCCGCTGCTCCGGACACAGAACGACACGTTGCTCCCGCGGCCTTTCGCGCTCAAAGCGTCTTTTCGATGCCGCTCGCCGCTTTCATTTCGAGCCGTTCATAAGAACTCACCTGTTTGTTGCCTCTCCTGCGTCTTACAGAAGACCACGTAGCCAATGCAAACCGTCGTTTTCAGCCGGCGAGTGTTCTGCTCCGCTTACTCGAGTGCTCATTTATCTACTCTACTCTACTTTATCTACTAAGCTCCACCGCTTCCTCACCTCTCTGCCGCTCATCTGAGGGCAAGTCTTAGCAGGCCGCTTCATTCCGCTGCCATCGCAGATGGGACAAGTGTATTCCTGTTCCGACGGGGTAAAATTAGACCCAGTCCAGGCTCGATGTGCACTTTCAAAGTCAGTATCAGAGTGTGTGTGTGTGTGTGTGTGTGTGTGTTGGACTGAATATTGGATGGGGGCCAGGCTGAGGCACGTTGTCTCTCAGTAGGAATTCCACAGCTGCAGGGGTTGGGCCAGATCTACTGTTTATCTCTCTCCCACTCACGCCAACAGGGCTCCTCCTCGTTCCCTGCCCTAAACGCGCACACACTCCCCTGGCCAACAGGGACTCCATTGTCAGCACTCGAACATCTTTTATGAAGCCGCGAGCGCAGCAGAAAACCTTTAACGACTCTGAAGTGAAGACAAAAAAGGGGCCAACCAACGGCCCCGCGGGCTACATACTTGTGTGTTTGTATTGGTGCACACGCCCTAGCGGCACTTTTATGATTAATCAGCCAGTTTGTTCACATTTCGATCATCTTAAAGTTTGACATTCGGGGGAAGTAGGCCGACACTTTCACAGAGTTATGCGCTGCGACTGATTCTGCTCTCATGTCTCGGGGTCAAATATGCCGCTGGGGGTAGAAGCAGGAGATCAACCCAGACATTTAGCTGAAAGAGGAACTAAAAAGAGCAATTCTGCATTCTTACGAAAGGTGAGGCACCAAACCATTTGTCCCAGTTATGGTCCTGGCATTTAAAAAGATTAAACAAGTTGTTGAATTAATTGGAGGCAAATCAACCGTGAACTTCTCACAGCTCAGAGCTTCTTAACATCTGACATGCACGCAAGTTAAAAGGGAACACAAGCAAATAAAGCGTTTTTTGTCCAACAAACACAAAGACGTTGCATTTGTAATACAGAGAAAATCAGCCAGTTCTGGCCTGTTTGGCCATTTATTTTACTCAAAACGATTAACAGATTCTAAAATGTGTTGTTCCAACTTCCTCTCAACTGAACAGTCGATTAACAGACTCATCGTTTGAGCTCTTTCGTTGTGGCTGTGTTGTATTTTCACTTTCCTTCGCATTCCCGTCTCTGTGCTCTTAATTTCTTTTCCCCGATTCATTCCCTCGGCCCTTGGGCGCTTGCTTTGCACGCAGACTATTTCAGTCCCCAGACGGCGTCTTGTGGCATTTCTCATCCGCTCTCTATTCACAGAAGCGGCCTTTTCATCATCATCATCATCATCATCTCTGCTCCTCGGAGCCAGTCACGCCTCTCTGCTCTTCATCATTTCTATTCCGCATTCTGTGCTCCCTCGCTACATCGGAGCACTTTCTATTCCCCGTGGCGGGCGGCCATCAAGGGAAGCCCACTTCCTCATCCTGGAACTCCCCGAGCGCTACAGGGTCACGGGAATCGGGCCGCCCAACCAGAACGCGGCAGACTCGGCCCACCGAGCTGTTTACAGGAAGTGGACAGCGGGCCTTTTGTGTTCGGCTTCTATAAAAGGAAATTGTGCGGAGGACTTCCTGGAAGGAGTGATGAAGCCGACACACACACACAAACAAACTCCAACCCCTTTCATTCACTCACACAGAAGTGTGGTGGCAGACAGGCCGGCTGGAAAAAAAAAAAAAGAAAAGAAAAGAACGCACACATGTGCGTGTATACGTGCACACGGACTCCCTCTACAGTCAGCTCACTGATTATGGGTCTGGCAGCGAATAAACACACAGGCCAGCTGCACACCCACTCTCTAACACCTTATCCTGTTATTCAAACAGCTGCCTCGGCCCTGGGTCAACAATCCCCATGACACAAATCACCCAACCTGGCAACCCGAGGTCCCAGGACGCTGTCGGAGACATTCTGGACCAGGGCTCACAGTGAAAAGTCTGTTGGTTGCGTGAATGGCTGGTTTCAGTACCCGTCTTGACTGAGGAATCACAGTCACTGGTTTACACGCTGATGGGTTAGCAATTTTCATATTTAAAGCCTGGGCAGAAGGAAGCATTTAGCTGGTGTTCTTTTGTGGCTTTACACACATTCAACCGTATGTTTGTTCCACCTATTGCCTAATTATAGGTCTGTGCGAGACAACTTGAAGTGACAGAGACTTCTGCTTTATTCAACAACCGGTCATCAAACCCACTTTCGAGCAGCTCAGAGGCCCACGCCAGGGAACTAGTCTGTGACACACGCGTTGTGTTAACCACACGTTTTATTACTTCACTACAGCGGCACTTTGGTTTAACTTGCGTGCCATAAACTCCACCGCTGTGAGGTTATTGATCGCGCGTCTCCTTTCACGTTAGTTTGTTTTGCTTTACGGCTCTTAGAAGAGGGGGGGGGTCTCCATAGCAATTGTGGAAGAAGCAGCCATTCGGTCTGATCGCTCTCTGTGTGCATAGATAAAGTTAACAGTATCCAAACTGTTACCGAATAGGCGACTCGCATGTGTGAACCGACTCGTCGGGCTGTGATAGAGGACCAAATGTAACACTCACCGGTTGCTGTCAACCGCAAGAAAGAAATCAACCGGCCAAAAGCACACAAAAGTCCGCCCCGTCGCCGAAGATTTTCACTCCGTTAAGGCCCCGGTTCCCGCTGAGATTAAAACTAAGTTCCCAGAAGTTGTGAAAAAAAGCTATATCGACTTTAATCTCACTCACTTGGTTCCCGTGTATCTCCCCAAGTACCCTCGGAGTGGCTCCTTGTTTGGCCCGGGAGGAACTTGGAAAGGAAGCGGAACGTCGTAGAAAACTAACCGGGGAATCTGAACCTCGCGGCTGCCGTAGTGCTCATTGGGCTAAACGCAAAGGGCGCGTAAAGTGTAGTTGGTAAGAAGTGATAGTGGGACTGCAAAAGCAGATGGACACAACACCGGAAACATGGTAACATTGATTTCAGAATAAAACGCGCAGCTGCAAAAAATTGCATACACCCAAAGTACACCGAAGTAAAGAGATTTAAGGGAGCCTTCTGAATAGGAATTCCTCAGCATTTCTGTCATCACAATAATGGTCAATTCCCAAGGCGTAGCCAGGTGGTTACATCAAAATATCAGAAATCATTCTCAAAGTCAAAACCGGAAGTTACACATAAACGGCTGTTGACTTGACACAAACAAATCGTTAGCACGCACATCGGCGACAGCAGCGCGTCAGAAACACCAAACTGTCCGCTCTCTAAAAGTTGACAGTCGTCGAGGAGAAAATACAGAGCGTACGACCATCCAACAACTACTACGACCATTCAATAACTCAAACCCGCAGTTAGCAATATCAACATAACTAGCTAACGCTAACGCTACACATTCACGTTAGCTAGCCGTAGCTTGCATTGGACGTTGGCGTCTTTTGGGGACTTGGGGACACACTGAGGCGCTTGGTTAGTTAGCTTTGCTATTCATTGAACGTCACATTCAACGTAGATATGCAATGGGCAGTGTGTTAGTGTGGAGGTGTTGGCTACCTGCAGCTCCACGTCCGGGGGGTTGACGGGGCGTTTTCGTCAGTTGTAACAACACAACTTTTCTGAATCCTTCTAACGCATCGTCTGTCTTCCTCCGTGCGCGTCTCTGCGCGTGCTGCAGGAGGGGGAGCGGGGATGTCGTCCCGTGGGTGGCGGTTCGGCTGGGACAGGCACAGCGAGGTGGACCTCTTCGCGGACCGCAGTGACCCCGGTGCGGAGACCCTCTCTCAGGCCATCAGGGCCGCCGCTTCCGAGGAGCCGGACGCCGACGGCAGCGTGCTGTTCGGTCACCTGCAGGGCACGGTGGTCGGCCTTCGATATTACACAGGGCTGGTGAGGATCCCTCAGCTACTCATTCAGTAAAACGATCAAATAAACATCAGAACTGCCACGCAGTGCAGGGAGACAGAGGCGGTGAAACCTCACCATCATCTGCGTTTTCCTCTCTTTGCAGGTGAATCGAGGTGAAATGGTGGGTTTGGTGAGACAGCCCCAGAATCAATACGACCGCAATGCAGTGATGGTTGCCAACATTTATGGCAACCAAGTGGGTCACATCAAGCGGGAGCTTGGCAGCAGCTATGGCCCATGTTATGGATAACAATTTGGCTAAAGTTGAGGGGTGAGTCGATTTGTTGTTGGCGTTGCAATGTAATTTCCTGCTCTCACAATATGGTTATTATTCTCATCATCTCATTCTTTGTTTTCTGTGTCAGAGTGGTGCACTCGGGTACAAAAAACTCCTTCAACATGCCACTGATGCTGTCCTTCTGGGGGCAAGAGGAAAACAAGAAGGCAGTGATGGAGAGCATGGCCCGTCGCGGATACAAGCTGAACACGGGAGGAGGCAAAGCAACAGGTACATCGAGAACGCGACCGTCCCGTCTCACTCGCCTCCGAGCCGATGTCTCCGCATTCATCCACAACTAAGCTGAAGGTTTTCAGGGTTTTTTTCATCTACTTGTGTCCTTTATTCTGTGTGTGGTTTCAGGTGCAAATCCGAATAGTCATGGTGCTTCTGCATTGTCATCTAAAAAAGGCTTGACCATCCCACTAACTGCAGCGGAGGTAATTACTTGAATTTAGCAAATGTATTATAAACTTGTCTGGAACAAAATTAAGCTAGTTTGCATTTGTTTTGGTCTGCTTGGCAGGTTTACAAAGTCATTATCGTTGGGACTTTTTAGCACTTACAGAATTCATTATCATAATTATTTTAATGGTAAAATGGTATTCAATCAATATATGTTTGCAGTTATCTCTAATCATTGATTCTGTCTTCCAGCTGAAGAATGCATTTGACAACCTTTTTGAAGACTTGATGCAGAGTGAAGACGGAGAGAAGCAAGCTGCTGAGGTGCGTATTCGCCTTGTTCATCCATCTTTATTTTTTGTGCAAATATCTTATGTCATCAGAGTTTTGTCTAATATTTAACATCTTATTACGTCACTTCGTCATTGTTATTATTCTTGTTATGAAACTTAATCTAATATTGAACACATTTTTGGTAACCTGGTCTGGGATATGTCAGCAAGCCGAGCATCCCTCAGACCTGAATGTAACCCGTCTTACCTCCTCTTGAGAAAAACTCCGGGTTGCCTCCCTCCTGCACTCTGAAATAGTTTTTTTCAGTGTCTTGGTTCAGCTTCATGATGAACATGCGTCTCTCTTTGCCTGCA